CTCATTAAATCACACGATAAGAGATCTGTGTTCTGGCCAGATTTAGCTTTAAATCATTATTGTAAACTAGCTTTGGAATGGTATAAAAATAATAATGTGAAAGTTGTGCCTAAAACAGAAAATCCTCCAAACTGCCCAGAATTAAGAGTTATTGAAAAGTACTGGACCATTATTAAACAAAAAAAGAGTAAGAGTCAAATGGCTTTGACTCTTACTCTGTGCACAAGCTTATGGGTACCACCAAAGCAAAAGTTCGAAATTTTATTAGATTCCCACAGGAATAATTTGGTTTTTTTTTTATATTTGATCTTCTTATATTATTGTATTAAAGTTATTACTTGGTAGGAAATAAAAATTGAAGAGTGCTTTTTTTTAGTTGATTTTCTACTTTCACATTTATTTCATGTACACGTTTTATTTTCCATTGGAGGTTTATTTCCATTCAATGAAACCACAATTTTTTTTGTAACATATATTACATATATTACATCGAAAAAATCAGGAAATTTTCAAAAATTTACAAACTTGTGGCTTCATCAATAACAATAAAATTTAAGAAACTCTTTTGAATATTAACCACATGTTGTTACATTTTTCTTTGACTAGATAGAAGTTAATTGTTCCTGATGACAGGCATCTGGTCTGCAATCCACAATGGAATAGTATCAGCTTTCTAAATTTTTGAAATGATTTTCTCCCTAGTAGTAGGGGCCACTAACTGAATGATTTCTTCTTAGATATTTTTGTTTTAGTAATGCGTTTTGTTTGGATTTTTCCCTTGCTTTGGAAACATATTTCATGATTGTGTCAAATTCTGCCAAGTTCAACTATTTTCAGGAAATTTCCATTGTTTTCTTCATAGCATTTATCAGATAATTCTCTAAATGTCATGCTTTGTAATAACTATTTCTTAAATATTATGGTTTATGAGAGTCTGAGGTCAATCATAAATTTCTTGCCATGTAAAAGATAGTAAGTATCAACAACTTATTTCTTTTACTCATTTCCTAGAAATTCAATGATAATAAAAATTATTAAGTTTCTCTGTGCTATATAATATTTCTAATTAAAATCACATTAGACAACTTTTAATTCTTTCCTAATTATTGTATTGCATAAAGTACTAATGGTGCTATTGTTTCTATAGTAACATTTTAGTACTAATAGTGCTATAATTTAAGCTAAAGCTTAACATTTTGTATAGCAAATTTAGATAAAGTTTTTGATAATTTAAAACTAGGCTTTTTTAAATATTTTGTAAAGTTAATTAAATATGCATTTCTCATCCATTTTGTTTTTGAAACTTAGTTATAACCAACTCAAAACAAAACTAAATTTTTTTATGTGCTGTAAGTAAGTTTGAGCCTTGATGAGATAGTGCTATTGCTGGTTCTTTGACTAAATCTTTAAAAATATGCAGTTCTAAATCTGATATTGCAATTGCAAATAATATATGTAGATTTATGCAATTTTGGAGACTGCACTATGCAAAGTGCAATTTAAAAGAACTCTCTCCATTTGAAAAAAACATTTAACCAAATCATGAGTTTCATCTGTTAAACATGTTTCTTGTTTATATATGTTGTTCAGTCCGAAAGAGTTTTATCCTTAATGTCCAAATTTCAAATTTTTCATACTTTTGTGAAATTCATTGCTTTTAACAGGAGATATTTTGAAAATTTTTATTACTGTAAAATCTTTTCATTAAAACAGAAAATTATTGTTTTAGGTCTTCAACTTCACTTGGTTTCACATAAAGTATATCAAGTTAAAAAAAAATACTTGGAAAATGGAAAATAATAAACTAAAATTTAATCTACAACCAATACAGAGACATAACTTCAGTTTTGAGGCACCAAGGCAAGCAGATACAATGAGACCCCTACCCCTGGCCCTAAAACCCTAATTACGTCATAAACAATATCATGTAATAATTTTAAATTCATAATTTTTTGCAAGATTTTAAATGAGCAAATTTTCTATAGCTTTATCTAAATTAAGTGATTTTTAGTGATAAAATAGATAAATACTTAAATCTATTTGTTGCCATAGTAATTCTCAAATAGTTTTTAATTAAATTCATTTTAGAAAAGCTTCTTTCATTTGATGCTACTGATATTTGTAGAGTTAAATAAATCATTAAAACCGCAGCAATGTTTGAATAATCCAATGTTAATTCCCATTTTAAAATTACTTCCAATAATTAAATGTTAAATGTATTTATTAAAATTACTTCCAATAATGTTAAATGTATTTATTTTTCCCTGTAAATTTAGTTGTTGCTTTTTGTATATCTTACTATTAACTAATATATGAAACATATAATATAAGGCTTATTTTTTTAAGTAAGTTAGCATTTATTTTGCTTATTTATATTTGTCTAAAGAATTTGTTTTCTATCACTCTATCTGTGAACTTATGTCATTAAATTTGTGATTTCATTTGTTCTCACTCATCTTATCTCACCTGTTCATTTTCTCTTTTTTTTCTTTATTGTTAGCCTTACTCCTTTAATATTTTTGTTCAGATTCCGATTTTTTTAATATTGTTCTTGTGAATTTCTTTTTATTGTCTATTTTATTTGTTTATTTTATTAAGGTGCCACTGCATTGATTTGTTCTTAACTATATGAGTGACGCCCAACCTAATTTTGTAAATTATAATTCAATTTGTAATTCTTAATTTTATGGTTGAATACATGGATAAAAATTTGTTATGTTATTTTCTTAAATAATCTGCTTTGCATTGTATGTGCAAAGCAGATTATTTAAGAAAATAACATAACAATTTTATTTAATCATTTAATACTTTTTCATCACTCTTATACACAGTGATTTCCATCACTCTTACACACAGTGATTTTCATCACTCTTACAGTGATTTTTATCACTCTTACACACAGTGATTTTCATCACTCTTACACACAGTGATTTTCATCACTTTTACACATAGTGATTTTCATCACTCTTACACAGTGATTTTCATCATTCTTACACACAGTGATTTTCATCACTTTTACACATAGTGATTTTCATCACTCTTACACACAGTGATTTTCATCACTCTTACACACAGTGATTTTCATGACTCTTACACACAGTGATTTTCCCAATAAAGTTGCAGGTTTTCACAATTAGACTGCAGGGGTTGCATTTAGTAGTTTTACTTACTTTACATTTTAAGAAATAATCCTAAACAGAAGTATTGCTTTTAAATTCTTAAAATTGATGTGAAAATTGCATTTTAAAATTATTTGTAAAATATACAATACTGCAAAGTGTAACAATTAAACAAACTAGGCCATAATGGCACCTGGGTTTGTCATCAATCAAGAAAAAGTAAAAAATGTAAAAGAAACTAAATACCTAAACAAAAAAGATCTGGAAACCAAAACAAAAGTATGATTAGTAAGCGACTGGGGTTGATATTTGACCGGAGCCGGGATTGGGTTTGATAAAAGATAGCAGGGGCCAGGTTTGTAATTAGGACTGCATAAACATTCACATATCTTAAAAACATATTAATTTTATTTGAAATTCATGTTTTTATTTCTTTAATTTTATATATATACATAAAAATCAATAATTGTCATGATGATGATGATGATGATGAAGATGATCATCATCATCATGATCATCATCATCATGATCATCATCATCATGATCACCATCATCATGACAATTATCATCATGATCATCATCATTACCATCATCATCATCGTTTTAGCCTCTCCAATTTATGCTGTTTATCTAATATAAACAACCTTTAGCATCTTCTTTTTTTAACTGAAGCTTGTTTACACCATATGCACAGTTTTTATACTTAAATCTATTTCTCTTGAATTTGCTACTGTTATTAATACTGGAACCTAAGTCATCTGCATAATCATTACTCAACACCCTTATTACTCAACACAACTCTTGTTCAATACAATTGTTATTCCTATGATCTGTCTAGAATCATGACTTCTTTTTTGTCTTGTTAGTCACATTACACATCTGAATTTCTGAAATTGAAGCAGTGCCTTAACTGGAACACCAAGATTTATTTTAGAAATAAAATTTCTATTGGCTATATTACACATAGCAAAAATATTTTACTTTCTATGTTTTCAAAATGTTTTACTTTCTAGGTTTTGAGAGCTTTTAAAGTCATACCACAAAAACTACACATGTACCAACAATTTAAAGCTTTTTTCCATCATTTTCTTAAGGTGATCTAATTTGGTGTTCACACTATATTGATTGCATCAGGTAAACTATACTTCTATGACTTATACAGTTTTACTTGTTTAATGTGATGCAATTTAAAATGCAAGTAATAACATAAATTTATCTTATAAACTGCTGCAAGCATGATATCATAGTGATTTAAAATAATATAAAATTTCCTTTAACAGAACATAAAAGTTTTTCTTACATAATCAGTAATAAAATCAAAGGGTTGAAGAAATAATTTAGGTGCAGTTACAAAATAAATAGCTACAATGCTAAACCTCAAAAACATTACTTTAGTGATGTTTAATTAATAATATAAAAGAATTTCTATTTAATAGAATAAAAGAATGTCATAATAGTTAAAGCTTTTGTACAATTTATCATTTGTAGATTTTCATCAGTCAACTTTAATCCTATTATATGTTTTGAATGAGTTATTTTAATTGTCCCTGAAAATAACTGATTTCTGTTGATTTTAATGTGTATTTAAAAAAAACAAAAAAAAAAGCAAGCTGTTGCAATTAAGAAATCAAAGTTAGTTGCCTTGATTGGAAAAAAATGATGCCTTGAAAATTCGAATTAATTTTCAACAACAGAGCAATCAATTAAGTCAAATTATTATTAAAAATATAGTAAGGTTGTCTGTTTGTATTATCAAATTATAAATTATTTTTTATAGTTAAATCATTATTGCTTAAAAAATATTTATTCCTTATGTGCTCCATATTTAATAAGAGTAGAATTTAATTTTTTAAAAACCAAAAAATTAAAAAAAAACTGTACTCTAAGTGAATAATCTGAAGCAGGGATATGATCTTGTCTCTCTTCTCTTTTGTAACGGCCTTCAGCAGAGTTGCCATCGTCATCTGGAATTAAAACATCTGTAGGATCAGAAAGGTCAAATTCAGTATTAGAACTTTTACCTTTACGTAAATTAAATATTATGATTCTTGTTCCGGTTGAGGTAATATTTGTAAATTCATTTTCAATAGCTGAAAGTGAGTTAAGCACAGAATATTTGAGGATGGCAGGCAGTGAACAAATTTCTGCATTCTTTTCAGAGATACCTAAACAAAAATGTACAATACTTTTACAACAGAAAAATAATTACACAACAAGTTTACATATAATCAAAAATAACTTGAAAAAGTAAAGAAAAAAGAGTAAGTTGAAAAGTAAATAAATAATTTTGAGAAACTAAGTATAATTTACATAGTGAAGACCTAAGTTAAACTATATATATAAATATAAAACATATAAAAAGCTACATTCTGATCCATTCTCCCATGAAACAATAGGTACCATAATAGTATCTGCTTTAACTTTTTCTAAATACGTTTGTGATAGAAAAGCAATAGATCGTGATGATTTACACTTTGTTAAAACTAAAGCATCTTTTCCAAGTCTCATTGAACCAGATTTAAAACCATTTCCATAATGTCCAACAGGCATATGACCTTTGATTGTCACCTAACTCAAGAAATAATAAACTAAATTTAAAATTTTTAAAATGATAAATTAAATATATGTATTGAAGCTTAATTTAAAAAATATCGCCATAAGTAGAGGAAAGAAAAATAATGAATATAGCTTTTAAATAAAGATATACTATATAATAAAGAATATTGTATGTTATTGAATTATCAAAGAGATAATCTAAAACAGAAAAATAGGAGATCTTAAAATAAACTCAAAAAATTTACTCCTTATTTCTACCCAGAATATGAAATTGTGAAGCTCCTGTTTTGACACATTTAAATTTCATAAAGTTAACTTTATAAGTCCTTAAATTCTTTAAAAATTCTTATAACAAAATGTATGACATTTAAAATTGGGGATTTGAGACTTTAAATCTCTGATTTAACTTTATTATTCTCAACTACATTCCACAATATTCAATACTTAATTATAGAAAGGTGACTTATTTAAAAAAAAAGTACTCTGAAAAAATTTTAAATACAAGTAAAAACATTTTTATCAAATTAAAGCTTTCCTCTGTTTGAAATTTAATGCCTAATAATGCTAGATAGCAATTGTGTAATTTTAAAAATTCATTTTTATTTGCTCTTTAAATTTTTAAAAAAGGTGATAAAAATGCTTGAGATATACTCTAAAAAACTTGAAATAAAATCGGCAAAATAATCATGTTATTGAAGTTCTAAACAAAAAAAATTTAATAAATACAGCAAAAAGGAATACTTCATTGAAATTCATAAAATAATTAAAATAAAAATGGCACCCCTGACTTGGGGCTCTCTGTTAAGTAAAGGCTAGAGATGGTCTTGATAAAAATACTTATCTAGGGTAGACATTAAATGCATCCGACTACTGTCTTGTAGAAGGCCTCCTAGGTAAAGACTTAATCAGTGAACAGATTTTATATGTTGACCAGCTTCACACCCTTTCTTCATCTATTAGGCTGGTATAGATGTATATATAACACATTGTTTACAGTTTAGGATGTTTAATGCTGGATCTTCTTGACTCAATGCATGGGTTTTGCTTTCAAGTTTTATGACAATATTCTAATATCTCCTATTAAGGGTCTCTAATACTCAGTTTTATGGTTCTGAGGCCAGCTGGTAGTTAAACTACCCAAACTCTGTTGTAGCACTCAGAGAGGCTGATTCCATCAACAGCTGTAAAGAATCAGAGTACTAACAATGCCATGATGTGCATGTTCCTGTTTGTTATTTTGATGTCCTATTTGGAGGACTTTGAAAAGACTCGATGCTTGGCCTGGGCATTTACATTCACAAAAATTCACCTATTTGTTGGGAAATTAGGTTTCAATCCACAGACTATTCTTTTATTCGCTTTTGTTTAGCTTCACTTCACTCAATCAACTTCACTATGTTCTATATCACTCTCCTTCATCTGATTGCAAGACTGCACTCTTTTCAATGTTATTTCTGATCAAATTTTATTTGCCCTTCCTCTTTATTTTTCAGCAAATATCATGTTGTTAGTGACTTTAATGCTCATCACACTGAATGGCTTGGCTCTAATTTTAGCGACTCTGCCGACACTAAGGCCCACAACTGTTGGTTTTTTTTTTTAATTTCTAACACAAATAGTCACTTTCCAACTTGCTTTCCAGACAATCCGAATCATTTACCTTCTCTGACTTATTTCTAGATTTTAATCCTAGTCAGTGCTCAGTTTCTCCACATTCACCCTTACTGAAACTCTTTTCATGATTTTCTTTGAGATGGCCCTAGGGTAGAAATCTTTCGTCTTCCTGCTGACAAATATGCTTCGCTCTTTCTGTAACTTTTTGGATTCAGGCTATCATGAAATCTTTTACTACCTCTCTACAATTTCAAGTCAATTTCAGTTTCCTTGCTCTTCTTAATGGTTTTTCTATTGATGTGCTGCTGCATATTCCAATTGTAACTATTATTTCCATATCTATCACCAAAACAATTCTCCAGAAAACAGACATCTGTTTACTATTGCTAGAAACCATTGTAAAAAGGTTTTGTCTAATACCAAAGCTCGCTATTCTTAGGTCACAAAATCTAGTATTTATCACAAAAATTTAGGCTTCCAAGACTCATGGATAATCTTTAACAATGTGTCTATAATAAGAGCAAATCAGTTAATCTACCATGATGATGATCTTGCATGATTCAGATATTGTTACCACACCTAAAGACAATGCTGAATTGTTTTCAAGAACTTTCATTCGTATCACTCCAGCTTCTGTATCTGAAGTGATTTCCTGCTTAGATTCTTCTACAACTTGTGATCCAAAACTACCTAGACTTATTTTTATTTACTTAAACTCTATAATTATTTTAATTTACAAAAATCTTCCAGAATTTCTCACATCTATGGTGGTATTGTTTGCTGATGATACTAGTATTTATTATTGTTTTGATAAGAAGCCAACATTCTCTGATTGTTTGGAGGAGACATTTGAGCTTGAAAAGATAGATTAGAGTCAGTCCATAGTCAAAAATTATAAAACAAAAATGAAAAATAAAAATAAAAAGTTAGAAATATTACAACAATAAAAAAATAGTAATAATAAAAATCATGAAATTAACGCATACGGAGCAAAATAAAAACAAAATGCTTAAGAAAAATTAAACCAAACAAAACACACCACAACAAAAAAAAAATTCAAATATTGCAACAACAATCATCATAAGTTTAAAAATTTTAAAATAAAGTTTAACCTTTTCACAAAAGCCAAAGCTAAAAATAAGTTGAAAAATAGTGTAAGCACAACTTTAAAAATTGTATGCATATTTACATATAAATAAAATAAATAACATATCATATCATATATATATATATATATATATATATATATTTATATATATATATATATATATATATATATATATATATATATATATATATATATATATATATATATATATATATATATATCAGTGCTTATTATAGGAAAAATTTGGGCAGCGGTAACCTCCCCCCTTCTCGGAATATTTAGGGAAAATCAATATTTTGTTTTTATCAACAAAAAAAACAATATTTGCCATAACAAACATAAAAAAAAAATGTCCTCAAAATTTAAAACATTTTAGCCTTAATCTGATGGATATTATTAGCAGCATGAAAATCACTAGGTATTTAAATCTTGAAAATCTATTGCATTTATTTTCTAGTTTGTATAGTCATAGAATGAGCAAGTGTCCTTTTTAGGGTATTCAAATGAAAAGTTAAATTTTGAATTTAAAATTTTATTATATCTTTTATAAAAGGACTTTTTTAAAGGATACTTTTTAAACATCAGTACATTTTATAAATAATTTAATCTTCTGAAAAGAAAATTAACTTCTTGTGTCATAAATCAATGAACTTTTATTAGAAAACATTGAAAAACATGTTCAATTTCTCTTGGCTGTAAAAAAAAAACGGTCACCCCACAATGCAGATTATGTTTTGTCATTTATTTAATCTTGTTACTACTACTACTAATACGTGTGGCTTTCCTGCAAATCATTTAAAACTTGTATAGATTAAAAGTGTTTAGAACTTTAGAACATTTTGGAAAATAACAGAATATTTTAGAAGACTTTAGAACATTCTAAAAAAATTTAAAACATTCTGGAACAATTTAGAAAATTCTAGAACAATTTAAAATATTTTGAAACATTCTAGAACAATTTAGAACAATCTGGAATATTCTAGAACATTTTTAGACTATATACAGCTGCTCATCTAATTTTATAGTTATTACAGAAGCAACACTTGGCCTTGTACAAACTTAGCGATAGTAGCATTCGGAAGAACAAGGATGTCTGGACCAATAATCTGGTAAAATTTGAAGACTCTCATAAAAGAATAATGGTCCCTTTGGAAGAATATTCACTGGAAGAAAAGTGCAGAATACCTCCTCAAAAGCAAATTATCGAACGCTACCATTTCCTTGGACCAAAAATCAAAGGAAGAAAGGAGCGAATAGATGAAATTCCCAAAGAAGTCACCAAATTGTGGAAGAATAAACTGTATTTTCCTCATGTATCTGATAAGTTATACAAGCAAAGCTTGCTAAAATACTGAAATGCTGTGATGAATGTGTCAAGCGGGAAAGCTACGAACCCCTTGATAAAATTTTTGATATTACTGAAGTGGATGAAACATAGTTATCTTTCGAGGACAAGCAATTGTACCATCTCCAAGTGGAAAGCAAAGAAACAATGGGATCTCTACAGGCCAAACAGCCAGTAAAGAAACGATCCATTCCTCTAAAAGACAAAAACTTTCTAATGAGTCATTTAACTCATCATCTTACTATCCTGGTTTTAGTGATTCTGACTGAGGCTGACCACAGTGAATATGAAAACAATGAAGAAGAAGATGAGACAACTCCTACACCAAGCATAAAACATCATAAAAGCAAAATTGCAGTCAACTTGGTGACCTCCACCAGAGTATCAACAAACAAAGATGCTAATATATGCAAGCAATTGGTTTGTGAAGACATTGACATCCCAACTCCATGTCAATCAGCTATTTACAAGTCAACAATCAAGTTGAAGGAATAAATGATTGAAATGTTGCATATGGAAAGTTGGTCCTTACATTTTGATGGCAAGCACATCGACAGATTGGGATTATTAAGTATTCGTCCTTAAAAATAAAAGAAGAGAAATCAAATTAGATGTCCTTGGCTTGGTAGATGGCAGGGCTTTAACTATTGCTCAAGGAATTTCTAAAGTCCTTGATGAACCTATCAAATTCAATACAGATGATTGTTGCAGATACCACCACATTAACACTGGAAAAAAGGATGTTGTTGTTGTAATATTGCAACAAATGTTCACAGAGAAATGCATCAACAAACCTTAGTTTATCAGTTGGCAACACCATGCATTAGATAGAATCCTCCATTTGGTGATGGATGAAGAACTTGGAAGTAAAACACAATCGCCAAACATCGAATATACCTTTGTATCTCAACTGTTGAAGGAGTAAGAACAACTGAAAACACAGTTTGATAATCAAACAGAAGTAACTCTCATAACATCAGGCTGGAGAGATGATATGAAATTGTTTCATCTCACTTGAGTGTTCCGATTTTTTAAGGAAAAGGAACATTCTTGATTGATCAGAATTCAGAAAATACCCAACATCAGTAATGCGAGGTGGAACTCCAGAGCTATACTAGCAATCCTGGCCTATATTTTAATTCCTTCAACAAAGACAGTTCTGCAGATGTCGATTTATATCATATGGCTGGGCAGACCATTGGTTTACAGACCAACTGTACAACAAAAACGAAATCCATACAAAAAGGCTTTAAGTTCTTTGAAAAATCAATGGAAGCGAGAGCCATCCATACTACAGATACCCAGAAGTAATCAATGCCCAGAGCGCGCAATCAATATATATCTATATTATATCTTTTTGAATGCTAGGTGGTGCCATAATTAATATTTTTGTTTTCAATTGGTTTATACATAAGAATGGTTCACTTATGCATTTAGATATGTATTCAAGACATTAATTTAGATATGTATTCAAGACATTCATTTAGATATGTATTCAAGACATTCATTTAGATATGTATTCAAGACATTCATTTAGATATGTATTCAAGACATTCATTTAGATATGTATTCAAGACATTCATTTAGATATGTATTCAAGACATTCATTTAGATATGTATTCAAGACATTCATTTAGATATGTATTCAAGACATTCGTTTAGATATGTATTCAAGACATTCATTTAGATATGTATTCAAGACATTCATTTAGATATGTATTCAAGACATTCATTTAGATATGTATTCAAGACAATCATTTAGATATGTATTCAAGACATTTAGGTATTCAAGACATTTTGGTATATCTAGGACTAGTGCATTATATTGAGATGTAGGAAGGAATGTTTTAGAGTTTGATGATCATCTGAGTATCCAAAAGTTTTAACATTGATTATGTTCAGATATTTGTATAGTAGTCTCATAGAGATATCTATGAGTTTTGGACCCAGGGGTGTGCCTTGTGGTGCTCCATATTTTACATTTTGGTTCGTGGAATATGAGTTACCAATTTTAACTTTTTGAGTATGGTTAACTAAAAATGATTCAAACCACTTGTGAGCTGAGTCAATTATACCTATTTCACTGGTTAATGGTCAAAGTAGTTTTTGCTGATCAATAGTGTCGAAGGCAGCACTTAGATCAAGTAATGCGGTAGTGGTGTAGTGGTAAGAGCGCTCGTTTTGTAAGCGAGAGGTTCGGAGTTTGACTCCCACCATGTCCCTGGAAGTACCGTGCTCAACTTAATTTCTCCGTGCAGCGGTCTTGCTTGTCAAGGTTCGTGTTTCGGAGTTAAAGAGTTGAGAGAGGGTTGTACCACGATTTACAACAAAAAAAAAATTAAAAAATAAAAAAATAAAATGAGTAGCCTCCTCAACTGTAGTGACCCCCTCGGGCCTTGGGGAGGTGAATAATTAAAAAAAAAAAAAAAACAGTAACATTAGTACTGAAGTACTGGTGTATGTTTATCAAAGAGTTCAAATATATCATTGGTAAGCAAAAGAAAAAGTGTTTCAGTTGAGTGATATTTTTTGTATCCATATTGATGTTCTATATTAAGATTGATTGTTGTCATGTGGGAAACAAGACGATTGGAAACTACTCTTTCTATTAGCTTACTAATGAATACTAAATTAGAAACTGGTCAATAGTTTAGACATCCTTTCATGTCTTTACAAGTTAGACCTTATAATTATAATAAAATAACTGAACACATTTTATTATATATAAAGATTTATAACATAATACTTATAAACATATATATATATATATATATATATATATATATATATATATATATATATATATATATATATATATATATATATATGCATATATATATATATATATATATATATATATATATATATATATATATATATATATATATATATATATGTTTATACTTATAAACATATATATATATATATATATATATATATATATATTTATATATATATATATATATATATATTTAATTATAAATTAGTAGAAAATCACTTAACAAAAATTTTTTTTCATTTTACACTGTGTTTCATCAACAAAGACTCATCAGAAATGCATTTCTGAGTCTTTGTTGATGTGTATATATATATATATATATATATATATATATATATATATATATATATATATATATATATATATATATATATATATATATATATATATATATA